ATATCAAGAATAATATCATAATGGTCAACAGTGTTAACACTAAACATGTAATACCAATCCGGCGACACGTACCTATATTACCTAAAGGAAATATTTTTAAATTCAGACGTGTCCGAATCGTTGTACAAAGTCGGCGTGACAATAAACGTCATTGTGCATGTCTGTGGGCGGTACCTATCTTTTATTAAGTTTTAAATTTCTAGAAATATTATCTCTACGATTCCGATTTTTAAATGCYGTACGATGAAAAAATAATATTTATGCACACAGAAACGATGCGCTGTACAAAGCCGCCGAGACGACGACGCTGCCGACGACCACCACGTCAACAACAGCCGCGCCACAGCAACAACAGCAACAACAACAACAACAACAGCAGCAACAACAACCGTTCTACCCGCAGTACCAACAGCAGCAGATGCCGTACGAAGGTCGCAGGGCCATGCCACCAGGTTACGCGCAGGGCCGGAAACGCAGGCCCACGTACAGGAGGCGCAGGCCAGTGTACGAATATTATTACGTGGATGACTACGACGACCAACAGGAGTATTACGACGACAGCGTCGAGCAAATGCCGGTGGCCAAAAAACCCAAAAGAAAGCATTCTAGGTTCAACAGTAAGTGTAATATTGTTGTTGTTTATTATTATTATTATTGTCATTGACGACTTATATGTATAGTCGTCACATACTCACGTCGGCATTTCGACTTTCGACATATTATTTTGGTATAATATACATAACTGCACGGCTGTAGTTATTGATTCGTTTTGTATTTACATTTACATGCACTGTGGAGAAAGCTGTACATAATATACTTACACGAATTACCTACACATATGTCAAAGATGTACGGTTAATTGTCGAAATCCGGCATCACTATAGTTTTGACTAGTCCACACTCAACGCTAGTTTTCTCAACCCCCTTTCCGCTGCAGGTAGAAATAACTGTAGGATTAGAATTTTAAATGTCTGAATTGAAAACATTATAGTTTTTACTGACATTTTTAGGTATATGTATTAGTGCGCAGTTGTACAGGTGATCGCGATAGACCAGCCGACTATTAAATGAATTTACTATTATAAGATAAAATTGACCGACTGGCTATTATATTACTGCAAAAAGCCGTACATTAAATTTCACACAATATGTGTTAAACATAATTTTCAAYACCGACGGCGGCCTAATAATTAAAAACAATCACGAATCTTATATGCGTCGCAATATTATATTATTGTATAACACGTCTGCAGGTGGTCTACCAGCCCRCCATAGTGAKCACGTCCAATGAATTTTTTAATCGATGCATAAAKCGTATATGCGCATCAAAGGCAATCGCATAAAAGTTTGTAATGACTAATGATGTATGCATGTCTTTCGCATGTGTATACAGTGTTCAATGTTCATCGACGGTGACGCAAGTCGTGCACGTTTTATAAATTATAAATTAATTTTTTTAACATTTCCAATAATTTTCTATTTTTATATAAATATTTAATTATGTTATATACTTATAAATCACCTTTCGCTGAAATCGAATTTAACACATTTTCCAATATATATAGATACATTTGTTTTTTTAGAAAGTCTCGTGTTGTATTATTACAAGTTATATGCCGAAAAAAAACTAAAATAATTGTATTTGGTGTATTATAATTTATAATATTGATCTAACCAGATCGAGATTTTATTAAAAACCGTGATTCGCGTAATTTCAACGATTTAATAATATGCCATCATATAATTCATGATAAATTTAATATAATAAGGCACTTTTTAACACAAAAATAGCTTTGTTATGTACCTATTCATGCWGTACACATGCGCATACACTAATTTGAAAGTACCTACCATTAGTTACCACATGGTAATTATGTCATATTATGAGTATAATATATTTAAAGATTGGTTGTTTTCAATGCTACGAATCCAATCAATTGTGGACAAATAAAATTTGGTGTTGTATATACCACTTAATGGCATATGTAATACCTGAAACATAAGTGAAATGTGTGATTTCTGTAAAACATTTTCATTATCGACAGAGACTATTAAGGCAAATTAAGAATTTATAGGCAGAAAGGTTCAAATTAACATCCACTAGAATTCTTTTTCATCTGCAGATGACTGTAGCTGGGGATCTCAACAATTCGGTGGCACCTTGAGTCGACTAAACTCCAAGAGAAAGCTTCATGAGCTAAACATCCAACCACTCATATTCTACTTAGAACATAATATATTAAACATCTATTATAGCTGGTTTATCACATATTACCACCTCTTCCTCCACTCATAAAAAAAAATGTACTCCAAGTTATGCCAATTTCTAGTTATATATTTATTACAGAATTACAATATTAATTAAAAGGTGTAATTGCACGTATCTTACTTACATGGCATAGGTACATCCCTAAACTTGTTAGTCGTTTGTTRTATTGCTATGTTTAGCTATTACATAGCAGTTTGTTTTGATGTTAGGGCATAGCTGTATGTTTAAATACTAAATAATTATGAGATTTGGATTAAGTTACATATTGGTTGACCATACAACTCTGCATGGTCGTACACCCATCTGTTTTTGAGTCAGAAGCTACAGTCACTCCTGCAGGTATTCTTATAAAAACAGGCCACCCCTAAATCTCGTTTGAGTGACGTTTCAGACACCGTTTAGTTGTTTTCAGTTTGAAATATTGTGTTGAGAACGTTTGTGATTAACCGGCCGTTAACGTTTTAGATTATAAGCAGGCCGACCTGGAAGCCGATTACCAGGAAAGCAGTTCGGAGTCGGACGCCATGCCGAGCGGTAACTTTAAGCAACACAGGGGACAACACGCGCCGCAGCAACACCACCAGCAGCAACAGCAGCAGCAACAGCAACAGCAACAGCACCAGCAACAGCAACAGCAACAGCAGCCGCGGCATCAGCAACAGCAGTCGTCTCCGGCAGTGACGAAGAACGTGTCCAATCAGATATCTTCGGTGTACGACAAGCCCAGGGCCCCGCCCAAGATCCGCCGCCCGGTACCCATCAACGAACGGGACCGATACGATTACGTTTCGAAGTCCAGTCCGCAATCAGGTCCGTCAGATGATTTCGCTCCAGTGTCCACCACCGCGGCCACCACCACCACAACCGCCACTACTACCACCACCACCACCACCACAGAAGCCGCGACGACAAAGTCGGGATCCAGAGGCAGAGAGCCACCGCTACGGCAAGTCACTACCGAAGATCCGATCGAGTATTACGACGACGACGAGGAAGTGGTGGCCGACGACGAGTACGCCGTGGAACCGGAAGTACCAGCAGCAGTGAAATCCGCAGTGGCAGCCACGGCCGCCGCATCAAAACCCGACCAGGTGTACAAGCCGGTCAAGGCAGCCGCCAGGACGGCCGTGGTGGTCGATTACGACGTGGACCGCGCGAGGCGTCCGTCGGCGGCCGCGGCGGTAAGATCTAAGCCGGGCAGATCACCCGCAGTCGTTGCGCCGCCACCACAGCAACCTGCGGCGCCGAGGAAGAGGCCGACGTCCGAACGCGTGGCCGACGATTACGAGGACGAACCTGCACCGGCGGCGGCCACGAAACAGTCGATCAACGCGGCGACCAAGCAACGAGCGTCCGGCCCGTTCCTGATGCGACCCTCGAAACCGGCCAAAGTCAGATCTCCGCCGCCGGTCGACGATGACGAGGGCGTGGACGAACCGGCGGCGGCGGCGGAGACGGTCTACCAGCAGCAGCAGGCCAGRCAGCCGCAGCGCGTGAGCGTCAGACAAGTGATGGCCGTGGCGCACAACAACAGGCAGAGGCCGCAACAGCAACAGCAGGCCGCGGCGGACCGGCCGCACGCGCAGTACAACAACAAGCACGCGAGGGCGACGTCCGCGGCCAACAGGAGGCCCATGCGGCCAGTCTACGAGTACGCCGACGAGTACTATGACGACCAATAATGATGTGATGATGATAAATATTAAAATAATATATCGATGACAACGATCATAATAATATACGATAAAACGTACAGCCGTCAAGCGAGTTGGTTATAATGAGCGATGTATACATATTTAGCAGTGGATCTGCTCGGAGCGGTACAGTTATATTATTATTATTATTATTATTGTTATTTTTATTTTTATGTTATATTATTTTACGTGTGGCGACGAATTTTCTTAACTGCAAGACAACCGAAAAAGCGTATTTTATTATTATTATTATTATTATTATTATGATTATCATCGTGAGTCGGACACGTATGTTTTTATGTAATAGACATAAACCAATAATTATTATTATTACCTATTATATATATGTATGTGTGTATAACATAATATAATAGTAGGTACATATATTGTATGTATACTATACCACGATGCGATAAGTATATGATTTTGTGTAATTAATACATAACAATAAT